CATCTGAAAAATCTAACAGCTTTTCATGATAAAAATGCTCAACTTATGAATAAAAGGGAACTTCTTTAGCATGATAAAAGACATTTATGAAAAACACAAAGCTAAAATTATACTCAGTGATTAAAGACTAAAAGCCTTTGCTCTAAGGGCAGGAACAATGCCCACTTTTTTGCCACTTTTAATACTTTATATTAGAAATTCTACCCTGATCAATTAGGCAAGAAAAAAAGAATAAAATACATTTAAGTCAACAGAAGTAAAACTATCCCTACTCCTAGGTGACATGATCTTATATATATATATAAATTCTAAGGAATTCACACACACACACAACTATTTATTTAATAAGTTCAGCAAAGTTGCAGGATTAAAGATCCACACTCAAAACACAATTTTATTTCTGTACACTAGCAATGAACAGTGATTAAGGAAATAATTACTTTTATGATATAAAAGAATAAAACATCTAAGATTAAATATAACCAAGGAAATTAAAGACTTGTGCAATTAAAACTACAAAACACTTCTAAGAGAAAATTGAAAAGATGTCGAATGTTCATGGAATGGAAGACTTAGTATCATTAAAAGGACAATACTAAAAGTAATCTACAGAGTCAATGTAATTTCTATCAAAATTCCAACAACCTTTTTTGTAGAAATGAATAACTAACTGATCCTCAAATTCAAATTTATACAGAATTGCAGGGGGCCCAGAATAGTGAAAACAATCTTTGGGGGATGGGAGGAAGGATTCAAATTTGGAAGACTCACACTTCCCTATTTCAAAATTTACTACAAAGCTATAATAATTCAAACATGTGATACTGACATAAAATAGATATGCATTCCAACATAACAGAATTGAGAGTCTAGAAATAAACCCACACATTTATAGCCAACTGATTTTTGGAAAGGGTAACAAAACAATTCAATGGGTAAAGAATAGCCTATTTAATAAATGGGACTGAGATAGCTGGATATCCACAACATATACAATAAATGACTCAAAAAGGATTAACAACCTAAATATAAGGGCTAAAATTATAAAACTCTTAGGAAAAATATAAGGGTAAATTTTCATGACCTTGGATTTGGTAATGGGTTCTTACATATGACACCAGAAGCATGAGTAACAAAAAAAGGCATGTATATGAGATTTCAAGAAAATTAAAAATATTTGTGCATCAAAGAATACTCTCAAGAAAATGAAAAGGCAACCTATATAATGTGAGAAATTATTTGCATATCACGTCTGATAAGGGTCTAATATCCAGATTATATAAGTAACTATTACAACTCAACCATCAAAAGACAAACAACTCAATTTAAAAATGGGCAAAAGACTTGAACAGGTATTTCTCCAAAGATATACAAATGGACAGGAAGCACATGAAAAGATGATCAACATCCCCATTCATTAGGGAAATGTTTTCTAACTGGTTTATGTGTGAATAACCTATCCATTGAAGAAGGGTATTAAAGTCTCCTACTATTGTACTGCTTTCTATTTATTCCTTTTGACCTATTAACATTTGTTTTATATATTTAGGTGCTCATATGCAGATGCATAAAATTTACAAATGTTAAAACCTCTTGGTGAACTAATGCCTTCATCATTATACAGGCAGAAGAAAGGCTTGCAGAAGAAAGGCTTGCTTGACCATAGGTGAATGTCTCGCACAAGATGGAAAGCAATTTGAACATTTCACCTAAAATGTCGTATGGTGTGTTTGTGTGTGATATTGTTATGTTACAGAATTACATGCTCATGATTTTGTAATAAAAGATTTTGTAATAAAAAATGGGCGTTATTTGTGCCAGACCCTGCATCATGACCTTCTTTGTATCTTACCAAAGTCTTTGTCTTAGAATCTGTTTTGTCTGCTATAAACATAGCTACCTTATTTATTTATATATTCATTCATTCATTTATTGCTTACATTTGCATGGAATATCCCTTCACTTTCAGTCTGTGTGCCCTTAAAGCTAAAGTGAGTCTCAGGTAGGCAGCGCATTGTTGGATCCTCTTTTTGAATCTATTCAGTGACTATGTCTCTTGACTAGAGAATTCAGTCTATTTACATTTAAAGTAATTATTCATATGTATAAACATACTACCATTTTGTTCATTGTTTTCAGGCTGTTTTGTAATTCCTCTGTCCCTTTCTTCTTCTATTGCTCTCTTCCTTTGTAACTGGATAACATTACATAGAGGTATGTTTAGATGCCTTTTTCTTTATCGTTTGTGTATCTAAGTTTTTGCTTTCTGGTTACCGTGAGGCTTGCTTAAAGTATATTGTTATAAATATAGTTTAAGTAAGCCTCATAAATAAACTATATTTATAACAATATACTTTAAGTTGATAACAAGTATGAATGCATTATAAAAATCTACATTTTTACTCTACATCCCCTCATTTTATGTATGTGATGCCACAATTTACATCTTTTTATCCTCAGTATCCATTAACAGACTATTGTAGTTATTTTCATTTTGTCACTTACACTTCATACTAGGTTTATAAGTGACTGACCCACCACAATTACAACATTAGATTACCTATATATTTACTTTAAAAAGTGAGATTTATATTTTCATATGTTCCTGTTTAATTAACACTCTATCATTTTGGCTTAAAGAAGTTCTTTTAACATTTCTTGTAAGTCCATTCCATTGGTGATGAACTCCTTCAGCTTTTGTTGTATGGGAGGACAAGTTTGCTAGACAGAATATTCCTAGTTGCTGGTTTTTCTTTTAGCACTTTGAATACTTCCTTCTGGCCTGCAAAGTGTCTGCTGAAAAATCTACTTATAGTCCTATGGAAGTTCCTTTGCATGTAACGTTTGTTTTTTTTTTTTCCCTTACTTCTTTTAAGATTCTCTCTTTGTCTTTAACTTTGACAATTTAATTACAAATGTGTCTTTGTATGGTTCTCTTTGGATTATTTTATCTAGAACTCTCTGGGACTGCTGGACCTGGGTGTCTTGTTTCCTTCCCCAGATTAGGGAAGTTTTCAGCCATTATTTCTTCAATTAAGTTTTATGCCTCTTTCTTCCTTCTCCTTCTGGAACCTCAATAATGTAAATATTAATCTGCTTGATGTTGTCCCATATGTTCCTTAAGCAATCTTCACTCTTCTATGTTGTTATTTTTGTTTCTCTGAATAGATGAACCCCCACCCTATCTTTTAAGTTCACTGCTCCTTTCTTCCACTTCATCTGATCTGCTTCTCTCCCCCTTCATGGACTTTTTCAGTTTAGTTATTGTATTCTTCAGCTCTGTAATTTATCTTCTTTCTTATATTTTATATTTCTTTGTTGAAATCCTCACTTTGTTCATACATTGTTCTCTTGACTTCGATGAGCCTCATTATAAGAATTATTTTGAATTCTCTTATCAGGGAAATCACTTTATCTCATTAATATCTACTCCAGAACTTTTATTGTGTTCCTTTGGAATATATTCCTTTCTTCATTTTCCTTAACACTGTGTTGGTTTCTGTGTATCAGATAAAACAGGCACTGTTTTCCAGTCTTGAAAGAGAGGTCCTGTCTTGTATAGGAGACACTCTCAATTTTGTATCAAGGTCAATCACTGGCCATGGCCTTTTACTGGCAACATCAGCAGTAGACTTTGTATGCTCAGAGGCTATGATGATCTTAACACAAGAATATATAAAGCACAAGAGGAAATGATGGAATTCAAGTGATGTAGTAAATGAGCTTCATTATGTAAGATGTATAAGACTACAACCAGAATAACACAGCATACTGTTTTACAGCAAACATTTTTTTTATAAATAAGAAGAGTGCATTCTAAAATAATGATAAATGTATAGCATAATACATAAACCAGTTACATGTTTATTATCATTACCAAGGATTATATACGGCACATAATTGTATATGCTATACTTTTTTATTACCAAAAGTGCAGTAGTTTTACACCAGTATCACCACAAACACTTGAGTAATACATTGCACTACTACATTAAGACAGCTACAATGTCACTAGGCAATATGAATATTTCAACTCCATCATAATCTTATTAAACCACAGTTGTATATATATGGTCCACTGGTGACCAAAAGGTCATTATGTGGCACATGACTGCATACAGTAGTTACCCCTTATAGAGAAGGGAACTACTAGAGGTTCCAAGATCCTCAGTGAATGCCTGAAAACATGGATACTACTGAACCCTATATATACACAATGATTTTTTTTTTCTATACATCTGTGAATGGAAACTTCCATCAAAGTCATTTATGTCCAAAAAACTAAAATGGAGCTGAGAAGTCATGTAGAGGTTTATGCTCATCTTGCTCATAAAATTTTGAACCAGCCTTGAAACCAAATCCTGAACTTCCTCCATACCACGGATTCTAGACTCACCTTGAAAGAAGCCAATCCATTTCACCAGCCAAAATCTTTCATTTACATAGATAACCTATATGAGGTTGGAACCCTTGGTCTTTTGTACTTGCCATATAAGCACATCTTGGAACATACTTATCTCAAAGTCTAATGACCTGGATCTGACCAATGCTTTTAGAACTAGTCATCACACTATGTTAGATAGCTGAGCTAATACAAAAATTTTTGTTACAAACTTGTGATTTTTACCTTTATAAGCTCTGGCTTTGTCTTCCCCATGTTTCAGGTCTTCTTCTGAATTTGTTTCTCCCAGATTTGAATCTTTTTAAATTAAATTTATTGGGGTGACACTGCTTAATAAAATTACATAGGTTTCAAATGTACATTTCTGTGATATATGATCTGTATATTGCTTGTGTGTCCACAACCCAAAGTAAAATCATATTCCACTACCATATACTTGGCCCCCTTTACTACCCTCAACCCTCCTTCCCTCTGGTAGCCATTACACAGCTATGTCTGTGAGTTTCAGTTCTGTATCTCACATATAAATGAGATCATATGGTACTTAGCTTTTCTGACTTAAGTCGCTTAGCATAATATTCTCTAAGTCCATCCATGTTGGCACAAATGGCCATATTACATCTTTTCTTATGACTGAGTAGAATTCCAATGTATATATGTACCACATATTCTTTATCCATTCATTTACTGAAGGAACTGGTTGTTTCTATGTCTTGGCCACTGTGAATAATGCTGCAATGAATATAGGGGTGCATATATTTTTGTAAGTGCATGTTTTTGAGTTTTTCAGGTAGATACCCAGGGGAGAGAGCTGGATCATATGGTAACTATTCTTTTTTTTTTTTTTTAATGTTCAATGAACTCTGAAATATTTTTTGGCCTCCTGACCCATCAAGGGATGTCCCACTTCTACTGTCTTTAATGCCTCAAAATTTTGATGTTGTTCCCCTCAGACACCACTTTGCCATCCACAGTCCTGCGGGTGGTGATCTTTTGGATGGTTTGTAAGGAGTAGCTGTTGTCCAGGGCATCAACAAGATTGAAGTCCTCCCCTTCTACCAGTAGGCAGCAGTAGGTAGGAATCTCAGCCTCCAGCTTGACCTTGATGTTCATCAGGGCCTCATACTCCAGGGCTTGGCACTGCCCCTCTTCCCGGCTCTGGGACAGCTCTGACTTCAGGTGCAGGAGGATCCCACTGAGTTGTTCCACCTGCGTGGCATAATGCATCTCCACCTCCCTCAGGCTGTTCTCCAAACTGGCCTTCAGATTTCTCATTGAGTCCAGGTCAGTCTCTAAGAACTGGATCGTATGTCTCAGCTCTGTGACTGTCCTCTCGGCAACTCCTATCTCAGTAGTCTGTGTGGTGATCACTGTGGTGCTCTCCTCAGTCTGTTGGTACCAGTACTTGCCTAGCCCCTCTTGGTTCATTGCAGTCAGTCTGTCATACAGGGTCCGAATGTCTGTCATGATTTTGCTGAGGTCCTGAGATATGGGGGCATCCAACTCCATGGTCAACCCAGAACTGGCAATCTGGTTTTGACCGTTTACTTTTTCCATGTGGCTCTTCTTCATGAAGAGCAGCTCCTCCTTAAGAGCCTCAATCTCTGTCTCCAGCTGCAGCAAAGTGATATTGGTGTCATCAATAACCTTTTGGAGCCCACTGATGTCATTCTTCACAGACTGGCATATGGCCAGCTCTGTCTCATACTTGACTGTGAAATCATCAGCAGCAAGATGGGCAATGTCAATCTGCAGAATACAGGCACTGTTCAAAGAATTTGCAAAGATCTGAGCCCTCAGGTCCTCAGTGGTATTGATATAATGCTCCCAATCTCTGACCAGGGGTCCCTTCTTCTCTAGGTATTCGTGGATTCTGCCCTCCAGTCTCCGATTATCAGTCTCCAGGTTTCTCACCCTCTCCAGGTAGAAGGCCAGGGATTGCATAGCCTCCTTCTCAGTCTGGATGCCCCCATGCCTGCTACACCAACCATTCCTGCAGCCAGGCCCGCAGATCCCCACCTGCCCTGCACACTGGTGGAGTGGGACACTGATTTCTGGGAGTCCGAGCCCCCACTGCTTGCATAAACGCAGGATACACTGCTGGCCAGCCAGACCCAGCAGCTGGGCAACTGCATGGAGCCCAGGGTCCAGTAGTTTGTGGAAAAGCTGGAGTGTGTGCTGTAGCTCATGTTGTTCAGGGAGGAAGGCATGAAGCTGAGACTCAGGTTGAAGCTGCCAGTAACTCTAGTCTTATTTTGAGGAACCTCTATACTGATTTCCACAGTGGCTATATGAGTCTGCCTTCTCACCAGCTATGAAAGAGGGTTCCTTTTTCTCTACAACCTCTCCAACAATTTTTATCAATATTACTTGTCTTGCTGACAAGAGGCATTCTAACAGGTATAAGGTCGTATCTCATTATAGTTCTGATTCACATTTCCCTAAACAGCTAGTGAAGTTGAGCATCTTTTCACATGTCTATTGGCCATTTGTATGTTTTCTGGGAGAAGCGTCTGTTCAGGACCTCTGCCCATTTTAATTGGATTCTTTGGGGGTTTTTTTGTTGTTGTTGAGTTGTATGAGTTCTTTATATATTTGGGATATCTACCCCTTGTCGGAGCTCTTGTTTGTAAATATCTTCTCCCATTCAGTTGGTTACCTTTTTGTTTTGCTGGCAGTTTCTTTTGCTGTACAGAAGTTTTTTAGTTCAATACAGTCCCTTAAAAAAAAGTTATATGTTGGTGGACTAAAGTGTAATTTACAGTTATAATCCTTTCCCCTCCTAATTCGGGTTTACCTGGAACGCTTATTAAAAATACAGGTTTTTCAGGCCCATGAACCAAAGGTCACCAGTTCAATTCCCCATGACAGCACAAGCCTGGATTGCGGGCCATGTCCCCAGTTAGGGGCATGCAAGAGGCAACCGATCAATTTTTCTCTCACACATTGATGCTTCTCTCCCTCACTCCCTCTCTTCCCCTCTCTCTAGAAATAAATAAAATCTTTTTTAAAAATTACAGAATTTTGGATTCTGCCTGAGACTATTGAATTGGACTTTCTGAAAGTAGGTCTCTAGAATATACATACACATATACATATACTTTTACTAAGCATCCCAGGTGATTCTTACACTGATTAAAATTTGAGAACCACCAGTACAGAAGGGAGTCCTGCCACCTCCTAATCCCCAGCTAAATATTTTCAGGTAAATCACTTTGTTTAACTCAGTGCAAAACTCTTGTTGCTATTAAAAATGACCACTGATATACTATTTTAAATTTTACCAGACATGGTCGTGCTGTCATTGTTCTTTTTAACATCATTACTCTGGTTGTAACAACCTACACAGATGTGTCCATTGGCAATGTGTACTAAGAAAAATAAATCATGTCTCTACCAATTCCCAAAATAAGATGACATATGATTCTACACTGATGCAACCTACTCACAAGTTTGTAAATGCTTATAAATGCCAAACAGTGCCACGCCTCAAGTGCATATTTTGCCAAACAGTTTAATAGCAGAAAATATTCCATCACTAAACCAGTTTGTTTCTTAAATAATTTTATTTCAAAGATTTTCTTGAATACTAAGTTTTTCTTTTAAAAAAATTTTAAATGTAGAAGCCACACCAAAAATGAATTCTGATGAGCTATCTTTCATACAAATATTTCCTTCATTTAAGTTATGCATACAGTCAATTCACAGAAATTAACCAGGCATGGTAAGTTGGGGGACTCAAGCCTTGAAAAGTCTTAAATATTCTGACAATGCATTTTTAATGCATTTTAATGACACCTCTAAAAATACTTATAAATACACCTCTATCAACTATAATAGCACTTATTGTATTATAATTGGCTGTTTATCTGCCTCGATTCCCTTCCTAGATTCTAAATGCCGTAAATGGAGATATCACTGAGTACCATTGTCAGTGTTATAATCCTGGTGCATGGTAGATGGCCTGACACATAGCAGATCATTCACTCAGTGAATACTTGTTGAAAGGAATGAATGGCTGGATGAATTTTATAAAACAAAACTTACACACTGTTCGTGTGTTTTAAACATATTAATTCATAATACTCTTATCATCCTTAAAAGATAAAATATCACTGATGAAGAAACTTAAGCTTAGAGATCAAGCAGCATGTCCAAGTTGCTCAGCTACTTGACAGCAGAACAGGATTTGAATCTAGAATTAGAATACCAAAGTACTCAATCTTTCCATTATAACCCTGAAAATTTCATCAAGGTGTTAACATCAAAAAAAGGAAGAATATCTGTAGCACAGCCTTAAGAAGGCTTGGGTTGTTCTCCAATTTCATTAAGAAGAGAAAACTGTGAGCAACAGGAGATAAATATCAAACTAATCATACAAATATACACCTTAAATTTTTTACAGAAGGGTACATTTAATATAAGGGAAAAAAGAATCAGAAAGTAAGAATTTTTTCATTAATGACCAAAAGAGTTACTATAAAAAAAGACTAAAGATACGAAAAAAATAGTACTCATGAAAACTAACAGTATGAATACACAAATGCTAAAAATAGAGAAATATTAAGTTCCCTAGATTTACCACAGCCAGGGTAAAACCATCCCCCAAACAATCCAGGTACTTTGTTCTGCTTCCACACTTACCAACCCATGTTCTGATGACTAAACTGGATTCTCAAGTATCCTAAATCAAGAAAAGGATGTTCTGAATAATAGTTACAAGTATTGTGGTCAATGTAAAAAATGCCTGCCCCATTGTAAACTGATATTCTAGATAACAAATCTGTCTCTAATAAATCTGTTATTCTGAATGAATTTCCCAGACCATCAACACTGATGGGTAATAAATAAAAATCACACATTTAACTTAGCAAAGCAAAAGACCAGACTATGGATTCCTGATAAGTCAGCCAACCCCTCTCACTATTTAGGCCACATTTCTCAGAAATATCAGAACCTGGCATTTACAACTTTGATTCAATCTTAGCAGAATTTTAAAGACTGATCTTTTCTCCATTCACTTTCAAATACACCAAACAGGTAATTTGGTTTATAGTACCATATAAGTACATTTAAAAAATTATTACAGGCCAATAAAAAGCATTTTTAATATAAACATATTTCCCCTAAATAAGAATAAACAGAATGAATCAATTCTACTCTCTAATTGTCTACCATCAATTCTTCTTCATACATAGCCCATTGGCAAACTGCTTTCCCAAAACTGCTGTAACTAGAGCATCAAAACAAAAATCTGACAAATTTTACTTAGCAGCTCATCACATTCCACTTTGAGATGTAAGAGAAAACGCCAAAAATGACTTAAATTTTCCACCATTAAGGCTTAAAGTCCTTCATGTATAAAGCCCTTTAAACAGAGTTCTTCCTTTTCTGTTCTCATGATTCTCTGTCTGAAATGTCACTTTCCATTTAATTCTATTCTGTCTGAGACTATTATTTGCCTTATAATGTTATTCATGAAATTTTGGGAGCCTCAAAGATAATGTCTGTCAAGTAACATTTAATAAGTTTCAGGCATCTACAGGTTAGAAAGCTAAAAACCTTAGTAAAAAGCCTCTAAGGAAAAGATGTCCTGACTGATGTGGCTCAGTGGGTTGAGCATCATCCTGCAAACCAAAAGGTCTGGCAGCTCAATTCCCGGTCAGGACACATGCCTGGGTTGCAGGCCAGGTCCCAGGTGTGGGCATGTGAGAGGCAACCAATTGATGTTTCTCTCACATATTGATGTTTCTCTCCCTCTCTTTCTCCCTCCCTTCTCCTCTAAAATTAAATAAATTTTAAAAATAGAAAGACAAGAAAAGAGCACAATCTTGACTGATGTGGCTCAGTGGGTTGGGTATCATCCTATGGAACAAAAGGTCGCTGGTTCAATCCCCTGTCAAGGCACATGCCTGGTTTGTGGGTCAGGTCCCCAGCAAGGGGTGTGCAAGGGGCAACCAACTGATATTTCTCTTGCATATTGATGTTTCTCTCCCTCTTTCTCCCTACCTTTCCCTCTCTCTAGAAATAAATAAATAAAACTTTAAAAAAGAAGAACAGAGCATAGTTTTGGGAAGTTTTACAAGACAAAAAAATTACACTTCAGGACCAACCAGGGGTCAAGACCTCATATAACAAACCAGGTTCTAAAGTAAAATAAAAAGGCAAAACACAGACTGGGAGAAATATACATAATACATGTATCTGATGATCCTCAAAAGCATTAGGTTAAAAGAAATCTGACTTAAACACTGCATGCTTTATGATTTCATCTATAGGAAGTACAATAATAGGCAAAACTAATCTATAGTGATAGAAATCAGGTTTCCTGTGAGGTATGGGGATTACTCAGAAGAGACCTTGAAGGAACCTTTCTGGAGCAATGAGAATGTTCTATATACTTATTGGGGTAACTGAATACTACTCAGCAATTTTTAAAAATTACTATATACTCATATATGGATAAAGCACAAAAGTATAATGTTAAGGGAAAGATGCAAAACACTACATACAGTATGACTTCATCTATATGAAGTCCAGTAAAAGGCAAAACTAATTTATCATGATAGAAATCAGAACAGTGGTTTCCCATGAGGTATGGGAATTGACTAGAACAGAACATCAGAAAATCTTTCCAAAACAGTGGAAACATTCTACATCTTTATAATAGGGCTGAATAGAGGGGTATATACAGTTATTAAAACTCATCAAATTGTCCACTTAGGATGAGTGCATTTAACCAAATGTGAATTTCACAAATTTTTGCAGTTATAACTGCAAAAATAAATCAACTTTTCTTATCAAAAGAAAAAAGCAGAGTAATAAAATTATAAAGTAGCAGAGACTTGACATCTCAAGCAATTTTCCTTTAATACTTTGCCAAAATGTCTTTACGTACCCAAACCAATTAAGTTTACCAATGTATCAAACTCCTTAATAATAAAAAAAAAAAAAAAAAATGAAAAGGCAAAATAAAGGAAATTTCAGGCAAAAAAGGGCTGAGGAGATGTCTCACCAATAGATCTTTCTTGAATACAAGAAATAGTGAAGTTTTTTCAGGCATAAGGGAAATAAATGATAACTGACACAGTGCCAAAAATGGTAAATAAGTGGGTAAATACAAGCCTTTTTTGTGTTGTTGCTTCTTAAATTCTTTAAAAGGCAATTCACTCTTTAAAGCAAAAATAATAGCAATGAATTGTGCCCTTGCTGGTGAGGTTCAGTGGACTGAGTG